CAAATATATCTTCATGTTATAATAATAAATTTACATAAAGTGCGAGGTTACGGGAGCAGTTTGGGATTAAGACTACGTCAAATATATCTTCATGTTATAGAAATAAATTTACATAATGGGCGGGGTTACGGGAGCAGTTGCGGATTAAGACTACGTCAAATATATCTTCATGTTAAAAAAATGAATTTACATAAAGGTTGAGGACTTGAGATTACGGAAGTAATGGCGGATTAAGACTACTTCAAATATATCTTGATGTTATAAAAAAATTTACATAAAGGGCGAGGTTACGGGAGCAGTGGCGGATTTAGACTACGTCAAATATATCTTGATGTTATAAAATTAAATTTACATGAAGGTTGAGGTTACGGAAGCCGTGGCTTATTAAGACTACGTCAAATATATCTTAATGTTATAAAATAAATATACATAAAGGGCGAGGTTACAGGAGCAGTTGCGAATTAAGACTACGTCAAATATATCTGCATGTTATATAAATGAATTTACATAAAGGGTGAGGTTACGGAAGCAGTGGCGGATTAAGACTACGTCAAATATATCTTCATGTTAAAAAAATGAATTTACATAAAGGTTGAGGACTTGAGATTACGGAAGCAATGGCGTATTAAGACTACGTCAAATATATCTTGATGTTATAAAAAAAAATTTACATAAAGGGCGAGGTTACGGGCAGTGGCGGATTTAGACTATGTCAAATATATCTTGATGTTACAAAAAGGAATTTACATAAAGGGTGACGTTACGGAAGAAGTGGCGGATTAAGACTACGTCAAATATATCTTCATGTTATAAAAATAAATTTACATAAAGGGCGATGTTACGGTAGCAGTGGCGGATTTAGACTACGTCAAATATATCTTTATGTTACAAAAATGAATTTACATAAAGGTGAGGTTACGGAAGCAGTGGCGTCTTAAGACTACGTCAAATATATCTTCTTGTTACAAAAACGAATTGACATAAAAATTGAGGACTTGAGATTACGGAAGCAGTTGTGTATTACGACAACGTCAAATATATCTTCATGTTACAAAAATGAATTTACATAAAGGTTGAGGACTTGAGATTACGGAAGCAGTGGCGGATTAAGACTACGTCAAATATATCTTCATGTTCCAAAAATGAATTAACATAAAGGGAGAGGTTACGGAAGCAGTGGCGGATTAAGGCTAAATCAAATATATTTTCATGTTACGAAAATGAATTTACATAAAGGGTGAGGTTACGAAAGCAGTGGCAGATTAAGACTACGTCAAATGTATCTTTATGTTATAATAATAAATTTACATAAAGTAAGAGGTAACGGGAGCAGTGTCGGATTAAGACTACGTCAAATTTATCTTCATGTTATATAAATGAATTTACATAAAGATGAGGTTACGGAAGAAGTGGCGGATTAAGACTACGTCAAATTTATCTTCATGTTATAAAAATAAATATACATAATAGGCGGGGTTACGGGGGCAGTTGCGGATTAAGACTACGTCAAATATATCTTCATGTTATAAAAATAAATATACATAATAGGCGTTATGGAGCAGTTTCGGTATAAGACTACGTCAAATATATCTTCATGTTATATCAATAATTTTACATAAAGGGCGAGGTTACAGGAGCAGTTGCGAATTAAGACTACGTCAAATATATCTTCATGTTATATAAATGAATTTACATAAAGGGTGAGGTTACGGAAGCAGTGGCAGATTAAGACTACGTCAAATATATCTTTTTGTTATAATAATAAATTTACATGAAGGGTGAGGTTACGGAAGCCGTGGCGGATTAAGACTACGTCAAATATATCTTCATGTTATATAAATGAATTTACATAAAGGGTTAGGTTACGGAAGCAGTGGCGGATTAAGACTACGTCAAATATAACTTCATGTTACAAAAATGAATTTACATAAAAGGTGAGGTTACGGAAGAAGTGGCGAATTAAGACTACGTCAGACATATCTTGATGTTACAAAAATGAATTGACATAAAGGTTGAGGACTTGAGATTACGGAAGCAGTGGCCGATTAAGACTACGTCAAATATATCTTGATGTTATAAAAATGAATTTACATAAAGGGTGAGGTTACGGAAGCAGTAGCTGTTTAAGACTACGTAAAATGTATCTTCATGTTACAAAAAGTGAATTTACATAAATGGTGAGGTTACGGAAGCAGTGGCGGATAAAAACTACTTCAAATATATCTTCATGATATAAAAATAAATTTACATGAAGAGTGAGGTTACGGAAGCAGTGGCGGATTAAGACTACGTAAAATATATCTTCATGTTATAATAATAAATTTACATAAAGGGCGGGGTTACGGGAGCAGTTGCGGATTAAGACTACCTAAAATATATCTTCATGTTATATAAATGAATTTACATAAAGGGTTAGGTTACGGAAGCAGTGGCGGATTAAGACTACGTCAAATACATCTTTATGTTATAAAAATAAATTTACATGAAGGGTGAGGTTACGGAAGCAGTGGCGGATTAAGACTACGCCAAATATATCTTCATGTTATAATAATAAATTTGCATAAAAGGCGAGGTTACGGGAGCAGTTTCGGATTAAGACTACGTCAAATATATCTGCATGTTATATAAATAAATTTACATATGGGGCCAGGTTACAGGAGCAGTTGCGAATTAAGAATACGTCAAATATATCTTCATGTTATATAAATGAATTTACATAAAGGGTGAGGTTACGGAAGCAGTGGCGGATTAAGACTACGTCAAATATATCTTTATGTTATAAAAATAAATTTACATGAAAGGTGAGGTTAAGGAAGCCGTGGCGGATTAAGACTACGTCAAATATATCTTCATGTTATAAAAATAAATTTACATGAAGGGTGAGGTTACGGAAGCAGTGGCGGATTAAGACTACGTCAAATATATCTTTAGGTTATAAAAATAATTTTACATGAAGGGTGAATTTACGGAAGCAGTGGCGGATTAAGACTACGCAAATATATCTTCATGTTATAAAAATAAATATACATAAAGGGCGAGGTTACAGGAGCAGTTGCGAATTAAGACTACGTCAAATATATCTTCATGTTATATAAATGAATTTACATAAATGGTGAGGTTACGGAAGCAGTGGCAGATTAAGACTACGTCAAATATATCTTCATGTTATATAAATGAATTTACATAAAAGGTGAGGTTACGGAAGCAGTGTAGGATTAAGACTACGTCAAATATATCTTAATGTTATAATATTAAATTTACATAAAGGGTGAGGTTACGGAAGCAGTGGCGGATTAAGACTACGTCAAATATATCTTTATGTTGTAAAAATAAATTTACATGAAGGGTGAGTTTACGGAAGCAGTGGCGGATTAAGCCTACGTCAAATAAATTTTCATGTTACAAAAATGAATTTACATAAAGGGTGAGGTTACGGAAGCAGTGGCGGATTAAGACTACGTCAAATATATCTTCATGTTATAAAAATAAATTTACATGAAGGGTGAGGTTACGGAAGCAGTGGCGGATTAAGACTACGCCAAATATATCTTCATGTTATAATAATAAATTTACATAAAGGGCGGGGTTACGGGAGCAGTTGCGGATTAAGACTACGTAAAATATATCTTAATGTTATAAAAATAAATATACATAAAGGGCGAGGTTACACGAGCAGTTGCGAATTAAGACTACGTCAAATATATCTTCATGTTGTATAAATGAATTTACATACAGGGTTAGGTTACGGAAGCAGTGGCGGATTAAGACTACGTCAAATATATCTTTATGTTATAAAAATAAATTTACATGAAAGGTGAGGTTACGGAAGCCGTGGCGGATTAACACTACGTCAAATATATCTTAATGTTATAAAAATAAATATACATAAAGGGCGAGGTTACGGGAGCAGTTTCGGATTAAGACTACGTTAAATAAATCTTTATGTTATAAAAATAAATTTACATCAAGGGTTACGTGGAGCAGTTGCGTATTAAGACTATATCAAATATATCTTCATGTTACAAAAATGAATTTACATAAAGGGTGAGGTTACGGGAGCAGTTGCGGATTAAGACTACTTTAAATATATCTTCATGTTAAAAAAATGAATTTACATAAAGGGTGAGGTTACGGAAGCAGTGGCAGATTAAGACTACGTCAAATATATATGTTTATGTTATAAAAATAAATTTACATGAAAGGTGAGGTTAAGGAAGCCGTGGTGGATTAAGACTACGTCAAATATATCTTCATGTTATAAAAATAAATTTACATGAAGGGTGATGTTACGGAAGCAGTGGCGGATTAAGACTACGTAAAATATATCTTCATGTTACAAAATGAATTTACATAAAGGGTGAGGTTACGGGATTAGTTGTGGATTACGACTACGTCAAATATATCTCATGTTACAAAAATGAATTTATATAAAGTTTGAGGACTTGAGATTACGGAAGCAGTGGCGGATTAAGACTACGTTAAATATATCTTCATGTTATAAAAATGAATTTACATAAAAGGTGAGGTTACGGAAGCAGTCGCGGATTAAGACTACATCAAATATATCTTTATGTCACGAAAATGAATTTACATAAAGGGTGAGGATACGGAAGCAGTGGCGGATTAAGTCTACTTCAAACATATATTGATGTTATAATAATAAATTTACATAAAGGGCGAGGTTACGGGAGCATTTTCGGATTAAGACTACGTCAAATATATCTTCATGTTATAGAAAAAAAATGACATAAAGAACGGGGTTACGGGAGCAGTTGTGGATTAAGACTACGTCAAATATATCTTCATGTTAAAAAAATGAATTTACATAAAGGATGAGGTTACGGGAGCAGTTAAGGATTAAGACTACGTCAAATATATCTTGATGTTATAGATATGAGTTTACATAAATGGTGAGGTTACTGTAGCAGTGGCGGATTTAGAATACGTCAAATATATCTTCATGTTCTAAAAATGAATTTACATAAAGGGTGACATTACGGAAGCAGTGGCAGTTTAAGACTACGTCAAATATATCTTGATGTTATAGAAATGAGTTTACATAAATGGTGAGGTTACGGAAGAAGTCGCAGATTAAGGCTACATCAAATATATCTTCATGTTACAAAAATTAATTTACATAAAGTGTGAGGTTACGGAAGCTGTAGCGGATTAAGACTACGTCAAATATATCTTCATGTTATAATAATAAATTTACATAAAGTGCGAGGTTACGGGAGCAGTTTGATTAAGACTACGTCAAATATATCTTCATGTTATAGAAATAAACTTACATAATGGCGGGGTTACGGAGCAGTTGCGGATTAAGACTACGTCAAATATATCTTCATGTTAAAAAATGAATTTACATAAAGGAGAGGACTTCAGATTACGGAAGCAATGGCGGATTAAGACTACGTCAAATATATCTTGATGTTATAAAAAAAAATTTACATAAAGGGCGAGGTTACGGGAGCAGTGGCGGATTTAGACTACATCAAATATATCTTCATGTTATAAAATTAAATTTACATGAAGGTTGAGGTTACGGAAGCCGTGGCTTATTAAGACTACGTCAAATATATCTTAATGTTATAAAAATAAATATACATAAAGGGCGAGGTTACAGGAGCAGTTGCGAATTAAGACTACGTCAAATATATCTTCATGTTATATAAATGAATTTACATAAAGGGTGAGGTTACGGAAGCAGTGGCGGATTAAGACTACGTCAAATATATCTTGATGTTATAAAAAAAAATTTACATAAAGGGCGAGGTTACGGGAGCAGTGGCGGATTTAGACTATGTCAAATATATCTTCATGTTACAAAAAGGAATTTACATAAAGGGTGACGTTACGGAAGAAGTGGCGGATTAAGACTACGTCAAATATATCTTCATGTTATAAAAATAAATTTACATAAAGGGCGATGTTACGGTAGCAGTGGCGGATTTAGACTACGTCAAATATATCTTTATGTTACAAAAATGAATTTACATAAAGGGTGAGGTTACGGAAGCAGTGGCGTCTTAAGACTACGTCAAATATATCTTCTTGTTACAAAAACGAATTGACATAAAAATTGAGGACTTGAGATTACGGAACTAGTTGTGTATTACGACAACGTCAAATATATTTTCATGTTACAAAAATGAATTTACATAAAGGTTGAGGACTTGAGATTACGGAAGCAGTGGCGGATTAAGACTACGTCAAATATATCTTCATGTTCCAAAAATGAATTAACATAAAGGGAGAGGTTACGGAAGCAGTGGCGGATTAAGGCTAAATCAAATATATCTTCATGTTACGAAAATGAATTTACATAAAGGGTGAGGTTACGGGAGCAGTTGTGGATTAAGACTACGTCAAATATATCTTCATGTTCTAAAAATGAATTTACATAAATTTGAGGTTACGGAAGCATTGGCGAATTAAGGCTACATCAAATTTATCTTCATGTTACGAAAATGAATTTACATAAATGGGAAGTTACGGAAGCATTGGCGGATTAAGACTACGTCAAATATATCTTCATGTTATAAAAATAAATTTACATAAAGGGCGGGGTTACGGGAGCAGTTGCGGATTAAGACTACGTCAAATATATCTTCATGTTACAAAAATGAATTTACATAAAGGGTGAGGTTACGGGAGCATTTGTGGATTCAGACTACGTCCAATGTATCTTCTTGTTACAGAAATGAATGACATAAAGGTTGAGGACTTGAGATTACGGAAGAAGTGGCGGATTAAGACTACGTCAAATATACCTTGATGTTATAAAAATATATTTACATAAAGGGCGAGGTTACGGAAGCAGTGGCGGATTAAGGCTACATCAAATATATCTTCATGTTACGAAAATGAATTTACATAAAGGATGAGGTTACGGAAGCAGTTTCGGATTAAGACTACGTCAAATATATGTTCATGTTATATAAATGAATTTACATAAAGGGTGAGTTTACGGGAGCAGTTGCGGATTAAGGCTACGTCAAATATATCTTCATGTTATAAAAATAAATTTACATAAAGTGCTGGGCTACGGGAGCAGTTGCGGATTAAGACTACGTAAAATATATCTTCATGTTACAAAAATGAATTTACATAAAGGGTGAGGTTACGGGAGCAGTTGTGGATTAAGACTACGTCAAATATATCTTCATGTTCTAAAAATGAATTTACATAAATTTGAGGTTACGGAAGCAGTGGCGAATTAAGGCTACATCAAATTTATCTTCATGTTACGAAAATGAATTTACATAAAGGGGAGGTTACGGAAGCATTGGCGGATTAAGACTACAACAAATATATCTTGATGTTATAAAAATAAATTTACATAAAGGGCGAGGTTACGGGAGCAGTGCCGGATTTAGACTACGTCAAATATATCTTCATGTTCTAAAAATGAATTTACATAAAGGGTGAGGTTACGGAAGCAGAGGCGGATTAAGGCTACGTCAAATATATCTTTATGTTATAAAAATAAATTTACATTAAGGGTGAGGTTGCGGAAACAGTGGCGGATTAAGACTACGTAAAATTTATCTTCATGTTACAAAAATGAATTTACATAAAGGTTGAGGACTTGAGATTACGGAAGCAGTTGCGGATTAAGTCTACGTCAAATATATCTTCATATTTTAAAAATGAATTTGCATAAAGGGTGAGGTTACGGGAGCAGTGGCGGATTAAGGCTACATCAAATATATCTTCATGTTACGAAAATGAATTTACATAAAGGTTGAGGACTTGAGATTACGGAAGCAGTGGCGGATTAAGACTACGTCAAATATATCTTCATGTTCTAAAAATAAATTTACATAAAGGGTGAGGTTACGGAAGCAGTAGCGGATTAAGGCTACATCAAATATATCTTCATGTTACGAAAATGAATTTACATAAAGGGTGAGGTTACGGAAGCAGTGGCGGATTAATACTACGTTAAATATATCTTCATGTTATATTAATGAATTTACATGATAACAACTGCTGAACATAATTTTTTGTAGTTTTGTCTCATTCAAATACGTAAGTACACACATGTGGTCGGCTATTAGCTCTCCCCCAAAAACAAACTTAATGTCATCTGCTGCACGTTTTTTTCGCTTGTATACTTGAGAAAAGGCGTATTTGAATATATTTTTGGGCACTCAACATCTTTTCGTGGAAATGGTGAAAGAGATATAAAATAACACATTAAAACGAACAATAATCATTTGTCTGGGTGTTGTCTTTATTTGGAACAACTTCATTTACCTGATAAGTTCTAAACATAAGCAGTTTTCCAGTTGCATAGGGTGGAACACATAATTTTATACATTCAAAAAAATGCCACCCCCAGTTAATTTCAAAAAATCCCACATAGTATGTTTTTAGTCAAATTACAAGGTTCATGCCAAGAAACATCATTACAGATGTTGTGGAAGGAATCAATATAATGTCAAAACACATCAATGTTGCTCAAATAATTATAATATTGTCAGAGTTTTTGAAACATGTCCTGGTGATTGAGTAGTAATTGATGTCTTTAACATATTAAAGATATCTTGTTAACTATGGAAAACGGAGACTTTTAAACTAGCTTTAATTTAGGTTGAAGACTTATGAAAAATTTTAAACTAATGCTGCTAAAAACTCTAAAAGGAGCTTTTTGTTGATTTTATTGCTAGATTTTTAGGAAAGTTTAACTACTTAAAATTTATTAAACAAAACTGAAACGTATATATTTAAAGCAAAAGATTTTTCTGATGTGCTAATGTGCACTTAGTTCGTTGACATAAATTTGGTTATAATGTTAAACAAAACTAATTCTTTTTTAAGAAATAAGACAGATTAAACTAATAGGTGTGCCCAAACAACTTAAACTTGGCATTATGTTAATAAGACTTAAACATACGTAGTACGCCACAATTTATGAGAGAAAAATGAAAAAGTATGTGCAGGTACTTTGCTTTTATGCATTCGGTGAAAATGAAAAACCACTTTCCTGTATGATGATTGTAAGTTATGAAAATTTAAGTGGTAAATGTAAAGTTCGCTCTGAAATGCTTACAGAGGGGAAGGGGGGGGTGGGGGTCACAACATTAATGTGTCTTTTTTGTCCTTATTTTTGCATTTTTGAGACAGGAAAGGGAATGAATACTTTGAAATGATCTAAGTATATTAAAAACATGAGAAATTAAAATCATGTGAAATGGGATGTATAACGATAATTACCTAAGAAACTAGCCTTGTATAAATTTAATGTACTTTGGAAAGTTTCATGTTAGGTTAAGTAAAAAGGGTAAACCATATTATAATGAACTCTAAAAATTGAACAAAAGTTGCTTATAGACAATACTCTTTTTTGGCTTGTAGTATCTTATCTATGAACAGAAACTAACATCTGCAGTGCACATTTTTTTTAAGTTTATAGAGACACATGACCAAGTTAATAACGTCAACATAAATATATTTTTTTTGGGGGTGTTGTTATAAGCAATTAAAATAATTTGGTCTGTTATTTTCAATGTAAACGTTATTTCTTGGAATTGTTGAAACAATATTTTTGTTGCATATTTTTTCTGACACTAAATTTCCGCAATTACGCTCTTCATCCCATAATATAATGAAAAATCATCAAAATTTTTGTCCCCGTCCACAGAAAAGTACTCGTCTTTTGTTGATGTCAAAATTCAAAAAGCCAATATTACTAGCACTTTAGGACACAACAATTTTTGTTTCAGTTACATTTTTTCTAAGCTGCTGTTTGAGAAGGATAGAAAATAACTTATCAGAATTCAAAGGAGAAATTTCATTGATAGCCAAATTTCCTCTTCAATGGTAAGCAAAGAAAACATAAAGAAAACTTAAAATTCAGAGTTTATCACATAATGCAAGAACAATAGCTCTTATGTATTTCACTTCCTCATTAAGAACATACATTTCATTCATTATAGTCATGCTTATACGTAATCCAACAGATAATCTAACACAATCTTTATCTTATAAAATACTTAAAGCTTTATGAAACATTTTTGTATGTTTTTTTAAGCATTTTCTGTAATTTAGGGTAGCGCAGCATACATCATATATACATAGCTGCCATCTGGTAATTTGACTAGTCTAAAATTCTTTAAAAAATTTTACCGTTTCGCAAATCTCTTAATCATTTCATATTTATCCTTATGATGAAAACAAAAACGAATTGATTGATCACAACCAACGATAAAGTTCTACTAATTGATACTTAGGAATGTCTTGAAATAAATTAAATCATAATTACATTGATACGCCAGAGAAAATAGTAGGTACATCAAAAAGATTTAGGGCAACAATCATTAAGTATTTTTAGTGTAAATACAGATAACAAAAAATGGTTTTTTAAACTATCATAGACATTTAAGAATTATGAAATTTTTGCAAAGTGTTTTACGTTTTTACATGAGAAAGATAGTAAACTAATACTTGAATGCATGTATGATAAAGAATATTTGATTAGACATTGAAACTAAGATTTAGGATTGAGAGAAATAATCAAGAGAAAGAGGTACATAATTCAACAAATTGAAATAGGGCAAATCATCATCAAACATAAATACAGAAGTCATTTTAAAGAGCAAGAAATATATGCAGAACAAACGATACATTACGTGGCTGTTGTTTGTTCTGCTATAATTATTCAATATTACAAGACCATTTTTGAAGATGGAAAACGCCTTTTAATTGTCTGAAACAAAATATTTGAAGATGTAAGAATTTTTCAATACTACAAAGTTGCATTCTTATATTTAGTTCTTTAGACTTTTTTACTTTGACAGTTCTGTCAAAATGCTCAGAAATCTCATTCAATTCAGAACTTATATAATTATGGAGTCGAGCTTCTCTTTACGACAAACATATGTTGTAAACAGAATATCATGTATATCATGAATAATGTAATTCGTAAATTTTGCTCTGAAAATGTTTAAGGGGGGAAGGTCTACAACATTAATGTGTCTTTTTTGTCCTTATTTTCTGTATTTTTGAGAGAGGAAAGGGAATGAATACGTTGAAATGAATTAAATATAATAAAAACATGAGAAATTAAAATCATGCCCAATGGGATGTATAAAGATAATTACCTAAGAAACCAGCCTTGTTTCAATTTGATGTACTTTAGAAAGTTTCTTGTTAGGTTAAGTAAAAAGTGGGTAAACCATATTATAATTAACTGTAAAAATTGAAAAAAATTTGCTTATAGACAATACTCCTTATTTGGCTTTGTAGTATTTTATCTATGAACGGAAACTAACATCTGCAGTGCACATTTTTCTTTTAGTTTATAGAGACACTTGAAATAGTTGACCAATTTGAATAACGGCAACATAAACATATTCTTCTCGGGGTGCTGTTATTTGAAATTAAAGCAATTTGGTCTGTTATTTTCAATGTAAATGATATTTCTCGGAATTGTTGAAACAATATTTTTGTTGCATATTTTTTCTGACACTAAATTTCTGCAATTATTGTTCTTTATCCCAAATATATATAAAAATCATGAAAATTTGTGTCACTGTTACGTATATAGTTCATCTATAAATATAATCACCTAAGAAACTAGCCTTGTTTGAAAATGATGTACTTTAGAAAGTTTCATGTTGGGTTAAGTAGAAAATGGGTAAAACATAATATAATGAACTCTAAAAATTAAACAAAAGTTGTTTATAGACAATACTCTTTTTTGGCTTATAGTATCTTATCTATGAACAGAAATAAACATCTGCAGTGCATATTTTTCATTTAGATTGTAGAGAAACTTGAAATAGTTGACCAATTTGAATAACGTCAAAATAAACATTTTTTTCCCGGGGTATTGTTATAAGGAATTAAAATAATTTGGTCTGTTATTTTCAATGTAAATAGTATTTATTGGACTTGCTGAAACAATACTTTTGTTGCATGTTTTTTCTGACACTAAATTTTAGCAATTATGGCTCTTCATCCCAAATATAATGAAAAATCATCAAAATTTGTGTCCCCGTCCACGGAAAAGTACTCGTCTTGAATTGATGTCAAAATTCAAAAAGCCAATATTACTAGCACTTTAAGACACGACAAGCTTTGTTTCAGTTACATTTTTTCTAAGCTGCTGTTGGAGAAGGATAGAAAATAACTTATCAGAATTCAAAGGAGAAATTTCATTGATAGCCAAAGTTCCTCTTCAATGGTAAGCAAAGAAAACATAAAGAAAACTTAAAATTCAGAGTTTATCACATAATGCAAGAACAATAGCTCTTATGGATTTCACTTCCTTATTACGAACATAAATTTCATTTATCATAGTCATGCTTATACGTAATCCAAGAGATAATCTAACACAATCTTTACCTTATAAAATACTTAAAGCTTTATGAAACATTTTTGTATGTTTTTTTTAAGCATTTTCTATTTATTTAGGGTAGCGCAGCCATGCAACATATATACATAGCTGCCATATAGCAATTTGAATTGTCTAAAATTCTTTAAAAAAATTTTACCGCTTCGCAAATCTTATCATCATTTCATATTTATCCTTATGATGAAAACAAAAACGAATTGATTCATCACAACCAATGATAAAGTTCTACTAATTGATATTTAGGAATGTCTGGAAATGTATTATATCATATTTCTATTAATACGCCAGAGAAAATAGTAAGCTAAAACTTGAATGCATGTGTGATAAAGAATACTTGATTGGACATTAAAACTGTAATTTATGATTGAAGGAAATGATAAAGAAAGAGAGGTACATAATTCAACAAATTAAATTGGCGCAATTCATCATCAAACATCAATACCGAAGTCATTATAAAGAGCAAGAAGTACATGCAGACAAATGATAAATTTCTCGGCTCTTGTTTCTTCTGAAACAATTATTCAATATTGCAAGAATATTTTTGACAGATGGCAAATGCCTTTTCAATGTCTGAAACAAAATATTTGAAGAAGTAGGAATTTTTTAATACTGCAAAGTTGCATTCCTCTATTTAGCTTTTTAGACTTTCTTTACTTTAGCAGCTCTGTCAAGATACTTATAAAATTCATTCAATTCAGAAATGATATAATTATGAGAGGCGACCTTCTCTTTTCGACTAACAGATGTTTTAAAGCAGAATATCATGTATTGCTTAAAGGGCCTCCTTTTCTGTAACTAGACGGCATGTAGTTACAGAGAGGCAAGCGAGTCTATTAAACACTAAGCAACAGACTATAGACCCTTTGCAGTGACGTCACGCATGCTTTAGCAACTGTTGCTGGGGGAGCATCTGGAGGACAAGCACCTGTGCATGCTTTATATGTTGATATGGCTAGTAGCATAAAGTCAGCGCTTTCTAGGTCAAAAAGAGTTTTTTTGCCTGGATATATAGAAAATATTTAGTGTAAGGATAGAAAGCGGGTTACAAAATGAAATTAGGACATTGCAATGGAGATGATCCGTACGAAATACCAAAAAATCAATGGCTGGACGATATCGATCTGTGGCCTGCTGTCAGCTACATTGATGTTGGCATGTATTTAGTATTTTCGGTCAGTCCGTACACGAAAGAGCAGTTGAAAAACTATCAGTATCTTGATAGTTATCAAAATTTTGTGAATGAATGGGTGCGTGAAGTGTTGGTGAAAAAATATGACGATCATTGCTTGCTTATTGCTAAGGTAAATGCTTCTCAGTTGTCACTAAAAACATTGCACACTGGCTGCACTCGTGCTATAATGAGACTGAACGCCTTGTTTCTTTTTTCACTACACCAGGTTAATCACTCTCAAAGATTGTCGGAAAAGCCACTTTCTCCGTGGGTTGTTTGCGAAAAGAACGGCAAAGTATTAGCAGCACACTGCGATTGTATGGCAGGAATAGGTGAAAGCTGATCTCACGCCGCTTCACTTCTGTGGGCTGTTGAAGCTAGTGCACGAAAACGAGGCTCTTTAACTGTGACTGATAAGAAGGCATACTGGGTCCTTCCAAGTGCTGTCAAGGCTGTGCCATACGCTAAAGTACAGAATATCAATTTTAGTAAATTTAATAAGAAATGTGAAGGCAAAGTGCAAAGAAATCCAGTTCCTGCCCCATCATCGTCAGAATTGGATGAATATTTTAAAACTTTTAGTTCTTCCTCATCAAAACCAGCAATACTTTCTTTAATACATCCATATTCTGATTTTTATGTACCTAAAGCCTTGCACTCTGACTTGCCACCAGTCACGAGTGATCTTTATGATCCCACACTATTAGACAAATCACTTGAAACTTTGCTGGAATTATCAGAGTCGAAAATGGACTGCTTTAATGTTACAGTATATATATACTCTGATGATGGCTTTGGAATAAAGTCGAAACACGGTGCCATCCAGTAAACTGCTATAGTGGCGAGAATCTCTTGTCCATATGCAGTTTAAAAGAGATTTGACTCGTCTCCAATCCCTTTGGGCTTGGTAGCTCAACAGGTAGAGCGGCGGACTAGTATCCTAAAGGTGCGAGTTCAAATCTCGTCCAAGTCACATGTTTATCATGTGCATATTAAAAACGTGTTAGGATTAATATATTATAATGTTACAGTTGAAAAGCAAAAAGCTGTAGAAGAAAAAACTAGAGATCAAGCGAATTTTCGTCTTTGGTTTCGATTTCATGCTGGAAGAGTGACTGCTTCAAGGTTCAAAGCAGCTTGTCGCACCAACAGAGATTCACCTTCCAAGAGTTTGGTCACAAGCATTTGCTATCCATAGCTGAAGAAATTTGCAGCTACAGCAACAAGATGGGGTTGCCAGCACGAAGAGGTGGCAAGAGACGAATATCGAAAATGGCTAAACACAAACCATGAAAATGTTTCAGTAACAAACAGTGGATTCTGGATTCATTTGACCCATGGATCTCTTGGTGCTTCTCAAGATGGACTTGTCTCTTGCCAATGTTGTGGCACTGGGATTTGTGAAATAAAGGTTTGTTATTCATTGTGTCTATGTTTTATGGGGAAAAGGTCAACATAATAATTACATCACCTGTTGCTTTTGTTTTGATAGTGCCCATTTTGCCATAAAGATGAAACAATTGAAACTTCAACAGATGAAAGGTTGTTTTGCATTGAAGTAAAAAGTGATGGCACAAAACAACTTAAAAGAACTCATGCATATTACTATCAAATACATTTGTAAATTATTCTAATTTCGTTTAACAAGCTTAATGTATAGAAATTCACTTTCTTAAGTTATTGCTCAGTTGTCATGCACTGGTTTCAGCTAATGTGTTTTTGTAGTGTGAACAGAAAAAGACTTGTTTGTTGAACGAATATTGCAAAATAACGAATTTCTAGAAAGGAACAGAGAGGCAGAAAAGAAATTTGTGTTGAGGGGACTCCTTCCAGAGTTAACAGGAAAATGATACTCAAGACCCCCCAAAAATTGAATAAATGAAATATAATAAAGTCAAATGTCTTATAAATATTATTAGTACAATTTTAAGTATATGCATGCAAAATGTTTCAAAAAATATTATTTAGTCATAAGGTAAGACAGAATCACAAATGTTAATTAGTGCACAGCTAACAGTAACTATTTTGTCAATAGTAGTGGGCTCTTTTTCTTTAGAATTGACAAAATCAATTGGCTGAGTTGAACTCAGAAGTGCATATTTCTTTCTAATGTTTCCAATCACTCTTTCCACATGAATCCTCGCATTAGCAATTTGTCTGGTTTGTTCAACTTCAATGCCACTGAGCAGTTTTTTACGCTTAGTAAAAGCTGGGATCTTGATAGTTGCACAGTACAAACCAACTGACTCCTGGATATCAAAGCCTTTATCAGCTAAGATTACATCTCCAGGTAAGAGTTTATCAAGGAGACCACTGTTCTCAGTCAAATGTTTGTCACTGATCTTCTTCCCCAGCCACTGGAAATAAAGCCTATTGTACCCTGGGGAGTGATGGAAATTAAGTACTTAATCATGTTGTGGTGCTTGTAGGATGAGTAAGTTTGTGCCCTTGCAAGAAGATTTAATGCATGATCCAAAAAAATCTAAAAGAAGTCAATGATGGCAACACATTTAGGGCAGTGTTTTCTAAAATCCACGGGCAAGGTCTTTCTTAAAGCTTCCCTATCAGGCCATAAAATAAGAGGGCTTAATTGATTATAAAGAACATCAATTACTTGTAAGAAAATTCTTGATGCAGTTCCCTTGTTGATGTTTCCAAATCGATAAGCTAAATCTTCACCAGTTAAATTAAATCGCAGTTTCATAACTGTTAAAAGCAACTGCCTAAATGGTGATAAAGAGCATTTGGGAGAATGCATAAGGTAGGGGCGTACCAGTTCCAGTGTTGCTGACAAGATCTTCCAACTTGGCAGACCAGTGTAAAAGAGGACTTTTTCGTCATCATTTAAGAAGGATTTCTCATCAATCGTCATGTCGCTTATCTTGTTTTTTAACTCAAGATTTTCTTGGGGCAAGCGATTGATCTCGCTCTTTATTGCAGTTATTTTATCCAAACTCAGTTCTGTTTGTGAATATTTGTTGTTCGATTCTGATTCTGACAATGAAGCAGATGTGGCTCCGTGTTCTTCGTCTACAAGATGGGTTGTCAAGGTCGATTGAGTCACTGCTGACAGTACTGTTTCAATGGATTCACTTCTTTTTCGCTTTTCATTTCTTTCCGAAATACGAGCATAGTGATCGACATCAACTTTTTCGACATATGTATGTCCAAGGTTTTGAGATGGAGCCCAGTCTGGATTAGTTTGGTCCGTTAAAGCTGATGGTTTTCCTGTCATTGTAAACAAAACAACAAATGGTATAAAATGACACAAACAAACACAACAAAGTTTTTTTAACTCAATGGCTTACCAGTAACAAAATGAAGGATACACACTCGTAAATACGTGCATTTAGAATCATCAATGTCTGCCCAACGAATTCTTCGAAGCCACATAGAACGACGTTCCTTTTGTAAATCTTGCAATAGTTTGCTCGCATTGGTTTTCACAGCTGGTATGCGATAAAAACTTAATTCCTTATCCGTATCAGCACGCTTCAAACAGCCAAAAATTGCGCTAAAGTTAACCATCCTTAACAATAATATTGCTTTGTTATTTACATGTGGCGTTTGCTTGTCCTCCAGATGTAACGTCACCGGGATTGTGACGTCTTATGCAATAGGTCTATTTTGCATTTAATTTTGCTGGCTTAGTTAAGCAATACGTTTTTCCCATTCATCTGGTAAACTGAGTTAACAAAAGCAAATTTGAAATCAACCCATTTTAAATTTTTTGAAAAGTGCTCTTGGTGAAATTCATATATTTTGTCATTTCCTTATAGTGGTCATTGAAATGTATTATTTCTTTCTATGCTTTCGTTTTCTTGAAACCTTATATCTATTTATTCAAAAAACTTTCTACGCTGGTAAAACCTACTTATATGAACTGTTGTAAGCATGAGTCGTTATAATGAACAATTTGCCTAATCTATTGCAACAATATTCAATCATCATCAATTTTCTGAAGGCAAACGTGGAAATACTTTTTGGAGAAGCAAGTTAAATTGTTACATAATTACAGAGATCAATACTTGATTTATACATCCCCCAAAAAGTTAAAAACAAAATGATTATATGATTATATTGATGTTAAGCCTTTTTTAAAAAAAGTAAATATTTTACTACAAATCCTTTAATGAAATTAATAATCGTCCATCTTCTAACAAATAGAAAATAAAGATGATATCAAGCTCAACAAAAGCGTTTCTTGGTACTCTTATAATCCTGTCTATTAGTTTACAAATAGTAAATGGTAATGACGACATATCAATGTGCAAGAAAAGCTTAGAGACACTAAAAGACAAAGTGAAAGAGTGGAAGGAAACCTGCGTGGATAAAAATGGCAATGACGATAACACAACTGCATGCAAGGAAATAAAACAGTATAACAAGGAAATGATGCAAATGCAAACAGAAATGTGTTTTTACACAGGTATAATCTTTAGATTTGACAAACTTTTATGGTTTCTTGTTCATAGCACTAAAAATAATATGCAACAATAATAGGTAGAAGTTATGCAGCCAATCTAATTTCAGTTATTAGTAATTGTTCTACAGTGAAAAACTCTTTCCAAAAAACACTTATTCTGGTCTTTCACGAAATATTATGATTCTAAAGTCTATAAAAATTTGCATTTTTTTAATCCACTCGCATTGTTTTTATTTATAGTTTTTTTTTATTATTTATTTCGATGTTTATCCAAAGCCATATTTGATTATTAAGAGCTTTGATAAAGTATACTCTGTTGATTCTATTACTGGAGATATTCATATCAGCAATATTAATGGATCCAGTAAGAATAAACTTGACCATGCATCAAAATATAATGACATAGAAATTGATGTAGTTGAGAATGTGCTTTATTACATTGATGACAAAGACATCAAACGGGGAAATTTTGACTTGACTAGAAACGAAATTTTTGCGAAAAATATTTTTGTTCGTGATATTACTGTTGACTGGATTGGTCGTCGTATCTTTTACATTGACTCCACAAACGTTATCTACCAGATGTGTTTGAAAAAGAAAATTACAAGTGTTATGAGGCTTCAACCAGGCTTACAATTTTCCAGTATTGCATTTGACTCAAAACATGGGTAAGGCGATATTGAAATTCCTTTTATTGACTTGTAAACGTAAAATTAAGAAACTATGTCAATCTATTGGAAACTTTCTTAAGTAAGCTAAGAGTTTTTATTATTAGAGACGGCATATTAATTTAATAGAAAAGTTGAATTTTTGAAGTCCATATTATTGCCTGTTATTTGAAAGTACAAGAATAGAAAAAAATATTGATTTTCGAGGGAAAACAAAACTCGCTTTTACCCGAGGGAGCGAATATTAAGTATTTTTTTGTGTATAAAGAAACAAACATCATATATACAAAATATTAAGTATTTTTTTGTGTATAAAGAAACAAACATCATATAGACAGCTTTTCAATAAAATCAACGAGATTTGGCCAGCAATATTTTATTGCGTGACTATGAGGCATTTGAAACCAACTGCAAGGATGAGCTCAGTTCGTGTGATTATTCAGCACACACGCAGCAGAAAATAACATGCAGATCCAGAAATTGCAAAAATCGACAGCGATACTTATGTTAAGCAACCAAAGAGCTTTGACAAAAATGTAACAACGGAGAAAACAATGTTTATAATTGATGAAGTCGTTAAATGAAATAAAACAGAGAGATAGAAACTACAATAAAGTATTAAATAAATACTTTACCGATGAAACTTTAGTCAAATACTCACACAACATTGGTTTGCCACAATCTACAAACAAAAAGTAGTCCAATTTCACTGTGCAACTTGGTGTTCTACATTTATTAAGATTGCTGGCTTCGGCTGGCCACCTAAGAGCGCTTTTCTTTGTCAGAAAATGCAATTTGCTTGACGCCTCCATGGCAATCATATGCTTAATAAGATATGCCCTACACAAAAGAATTCAACAGATTGGGAGCATTGTTTGTTGCTTTGCTTTGCCCTTTCATATACTATAACCCTTTTTGAGACAGTGTAAGAGATGTGCAACAATCTCAATACGAAATAGCAATAAAGTTTTAAAAAATTCACGAAGGTGGTGAGCGTCAAAAACTTCAACCTTTCGTTTTTTATGGAAGACAAAAAAAACTGCGCACATTCCCACGTAGTTACATCAAAAATATAAAAAAGAATTTTAGTTTTCAAAAAATGTGGCAATTTAGAAAAAAAATCAGTATATCAAGTTTATAGTTTTTCAAGCCTTCTTTTAACTTGCATGATTGACGGAGTATATTGAAAAGTCAAGAGCTGCAAATTAACTGTATGCACACTACCCTTCAATAAATCCAATCACACATCCGATCAAATCACCGGAATGGAAAATCGTTCCACTACCTTTAGTTCATGCAGTGTTTCTTAGTGTAATTTAGGCAAACGTTAGATCTGTAGTTGCTCAACTGATGATGAATCTGAAGATAATAATCATGTTAGAGATTAAAAAGAAATTGGCTGAAAAGCCTGTGAAGTGAGAACTTTCTGAATATGTTATAAGTAATTTACGAATTTAAAAAAATTTCCTTTTCTAACGATTCCTAGGAACTCTCCATTCATGAGAGCCTTCTAATCAATAAATACAAGTTTTCACTCATCGTTCAAGAAAGTTCCATTGCACTTAACCTCTCTTATCTTAAGTATATTTTACTTCCCAACTTCTTTATCAAATATTGCATTTGACACCGCCTCTTAACCCTTTAAGTCCCAAGTTTATTTTAGAGAAAAAATGAATTAGCGAACAATAACAAAATAAAGTTATAATAAAAGCCAACATTTACTAAACTACATACAAATCATATATCAATTTAAAGCTAATATAATGAAGAATTTAATTGTAGTGTTCAAAATAGGATAAAAATCGTTTCCATGGCGACACAAGGTGTCAATTGCCGAAGTGATAATATTTTCAAACTAAAACATTCAATGTAAAGATAAAGTTCTCGAAATATTCTTTAGATGTAATTGCTTACTACTGCTCACAAAAAAGCCTGTATTATAAGCTTTCAGATGATGTATAACGTTTCTTATTTAGACACTAGAAAGCTCAAATAATTGGAAAATTGCAATCGTACCGTGCCAGCAAATATAGCAATAAAATGAAAAATAATTTCAAAACTATCTATGAGCTTGAAAAAACTTATAAGTTGCACTAACTTAGGGTTTTATTGCATAAAATGTGTAATTTTTAATACCATGCTTATATTTACCAACAATTCTGTCAGAAAAACTACTGCCTGGTGTGGAAAATTTTAGAGCAAGGTGCTACACATAGTCCCACGTCGCAGTCTTCACAGAAATAGGAAGTCTTTTTCGGTTTTTCTTTTGTGGAACATACTTTGCACCTTCTTTCCTTAGTCTTTCCTTTGCTGTTGGATGGAAGTATGCTAGGAAAATGTCTATCCCGAAATCTAGCAGGTGATTCAATAGCTGGTCGAACAACATGTGTCCGAGAAGAAAACTCCCCAATAAGAAGTTTGGAGACTTCTAGGCGGAAATTCTTTGAACTCCTCATGTTATGGTTTGGTGACAGCCTTTCCAGGATGTGACTGTTTACAATGCATCTGTGCAGTAGTTCAAAAAATATTCTCAGCCACCATTTCTTCCACCTACAGTTGATACCATACTATGATTTCATCTGGTCATTCCCGCCAACTCCACCCATTGTATAATACAATGATATTTGAGCATCATCTGTATTGCCATCCTTCTTTCATCGCTTTATTGTAATTGTAGCAGTATCAGATGGTATTGCTTGAGATGAAACCATATTCACAACACGGTTGTCCAACCATGTTACCGCAGTAATGGGTCCTTTGAATCGAAAGACAGATTGCCCTTTCAAAGACAATCCTTCTGGAAGAATAGTAGCAGGACCAACATCTTGTGTAAACGCACCACGTCATATTTCTCCCTCGTATTCATCGTTCGACCATTTAGTGTTTGAAAAGTTGTATGCCAGTATTTTTCCAGACTGAGCGACCGTTTCCTCTTCCTCATCAGTTTTAATTAGGTCGACATCATGTACGTTGCTGAGGATTTCTACTTGTTCATCTTGCAAAGAAGAGAGACCTTCAACATCAGGTTTCGAAAAGGCAGAAAGCTCGCAATCAATATCCGAGCACACTCCATCATAAGAAATACCATAATCTTGCTCTAGGACCAGGGGCGGATCTAGGATTTTTCAAACATCAGTCATAAAACGTCGGAGGCACTCCGCACCGGGGGGGGTTTGAGGCATTCTCCCCTGAAAAATTTTGAATTTCAGAACCTCTAAAATGCCATTTTCAGCGTTTTAGAGCAATACAAGATGTATTTTGGGCATCGTTTTCGGTAAAAACAACACATTTTGCTTACGTTTTTTCAAAAAAATGAAGTGAACAATACTTGAATGTTTTGCCAAATAATTATGCTCATTATCATGCCAAATATATGGCTCATTAGCATATCTAGGAGCGTAAAATTTATTTTACAATAATGCTATTCAAAAACAGATATAGTCTTTAAAAATTTCTACCAAGTTGTCAGGCATAGACCCCCTAGAGACCCCATTCAAACCTCTATGTAA